ATTCCGATAGGGTGTAAGATAACAAAAGGACCACATGTAATCATCCGCCCTTGGACGCGACTCTGAGTTAACCACCTTTGACAAAACAATATAACTCGCTAGTCCCAACTTGGACATAATAAAGCCAACGACGATTACCGTAGACCTCTCATCCCACATACCTAATGCAAGAGTTTTACAGCAAAGGAGAGAGTAAAAACAAAACACATCAGTCTGACTGTGGAAATAGAAACGCAAAACAACAATAAAATAAACACCAACACCCGTTCTCCTGAGTAGAATCACCAAGTGTACCACCAGCGGGTCTAGGAGTCCTAAACCCGCCGCATCCCCATTTTTTGACGCATCTAGCGTCACGCCTTCACCGGCTGTACTTTCTTTTGACTGGTCTTCCCAAATCCTCTTGTGCTTCATCTCCCCTCGCATTTCCTCCATGTCGCCTGTCCCACCCTGCTTTGACACACTTGCATTTGTCTCTGTCGAGTGCTCGCATCGATCCTGTGCCCCTATTCCATCACCCCCGAGATCAGTCTTCCGCTGTTGGCCAAACCCCCCGGAGTTTGAGGACTCATCCGCTAGCCATTTGTTCCTCCATGTTGGGCTAGTCTTCACCCCTCTAGCAGCCCTGAGTTCGACCCCAAAGGATTTCTCTAGTACAATCTCCTCCTCATATTTCATGGGGCAAAATTTATCCGAATGCCCAATCACCCCCACACATGAAACAAAAATAGGGTAACTTTTCATATTTAAAATCTATCCAATGCCCAATTTCTTCTTTCTTCAAACTAGTGCCCTTCTTTAGGGGTTTTCTCACATTCATACAAACTCTAATTCTCAAGTAAGATTTCCAATTTCCCTCGAACTGGTTCTTATAAAAACTAATAAATGTGACAATATATATAGTTTCCAATTCTCCTAGCAGAACCCAAATTCCTAAAATTATAAGGAACATTGTGAACTGGTACCCAAAATTCAGCCTCATACAAATTCAACTTTTCAGGTATATCATCTCGCTGAACATCTTTCAAGAGAATTAAATCTCTTTCAACAACCAAGGGTCATCCTCAAGCACGTGATTCATATCTATATCATGATAGAAATTGACAAAGTACCTTTTATCTCCAATTTCCTTGATTGCAACTCCTTTCCCCGGGCGCCAAATTGAAGCCAACAGATCTTGGAACACCGGAAGCTTGATTTTCCGGTCCGTAAGCACAACGCCGACCACCGAGGACACCACTTTCTCGTCGGTAACATCCATCTCCCCTGCTTCTTCCTCATCAAAATCAAGTTCATTGTCTTCCTCTCCGATAGCCATCTTCTTGTAGTTGTTGACTATGTCATCCATCTGCTAAACCCCCTACTCTGATTCTTCCCCTCCTCTCCTTCTCGGCCAAAACCAAAAGCAAGAACGCCGAGCAACCGGAGTCTGACGAACCACACCGTACCAAGAGCACCTAGCCGAACCTCGCGATAGCGATTGCGGGAATGAACAAAGCCCGAGCCGTACTCCGACCGGAATCGAAAACGGACGCACAAACCCTAGCGGCTAGCCTAGAGAGAGACCGAGTTATTTTTGAATATATTTTTGTGCAACAATTTGAAACGTAAAAATATTGAAAAATATTTTAATCATGAGATCTTAATTTTAACACTTACATCTATATAAAAAAAAATATCGACCTAACAACATCCAGCAGTTAAACTCTATATATGCAATATATGTGTCATTAAATATGACAAAAATTATGAATTTAATATACTTTTTTGTAACAATTGGAGTACAAATAAAAAATTATCACTTTGCAGAAACTAGGGCTTGTTTCCCTAGGTCCTGCAACCATACATTCTCCTTTCTCTTTGGTGCATGCAACCTTCTTATTTCTCCTTTCACGGGTGAAAAGGGGTAGCAACAATTCAATATTTGAGAAAGCAGTCCAGCTCAGCTGGCCATCGACGCACTCCTCCATATGACAAAGTCTCGAGTTCGAAATTTCATGGAGGAAATTTCAACCATGTTTACCCATGCTCCCTACCTCGGCCCCACCCAGATCATGGGCCCACCATATCCCACTACCCCTACTATACCTTACCCCAACCCCAACCCTACCCACTACCCCCACCCTTACCGCCATCCTACCCCCTACCCCTTCCCTACCTCAGCCCCACCCTGGTCCCAGCCCCACCCTACTGCCATCCTATCCCAACTCCATACCCTACCTCTACCTTACCCCAAACCCTACCCACTACCCCACCCCTACCCCTAACCACGACCCTAACCCACCCACTACCCCCCACCCAACCCCCAACTCCTAGACCTTACCACCCCACCCCGACCATACCCCTTACCCCACCCCCACCAATAACTTCCCTACCCCGACCCCTCCGAGTAGGTATGGGTGGGTATGAAGGGTTGTGGGGGAGTATGGGTAGAGTGTAAGATCGTGGTAAGGGTAGGGGTCAAGGGTGTGGAATTGGAGAACTGGGTGAAAAAATTGATGAACATGTTTTCAGATTTGAAAATGGAAAACTAAAAAATAGAAACAGAAAATTGGAGATAGAAAAACTGAAAAATAAAAACAGAAAATTGAAGAATGAAAAACAGAATTAGAAAACAGGAAAATATCTCTGTTAGTAAACAGGTCCTTAGCCTTTCCACTTTTCCTCTTAAACTAGTGATAAAAATATTTCTCGTTATCGCAAGTTGTGTTGTAATATCTTGAAATGTTAAGAAATTGCTTCTCAAAGAATTACCACGTAAATATACAAATGTCAAAACACTACGGGGCTCACAGCATATTACATTGTAATTAACTAATTACACATTATTGAGTTATTCCTCTTTCAAATATTCATTTAAATATGTAATCAATTTGCTTCAATCAAATACTATATAAAAGCATCTGAATCACAAGCACATTGGCCATTGGGGCATCCGAATATACCCATACATAGTTGCATACTTTGAAAAACATCCTCATATTATTTAATTCAACTTGTAGCTAAGTTAAAATGGACCGAATGGTACTTAGACAACCCATGCCCACACTACGTTGAATTATCTTTCCAAAAATGTCTCTCATTTATTCATTTAAGACATTTTAGGATTTATGAAATCTTAATGTATTTAGAAATGAGTCATTCTGTCTTAGAGGTAGCTCAAATTCTTCTATTGATTGATATATAGTATTTCAAAAGTATGGGAAACGAATGAAATTAAACGACAGAGAGATGATTTCCAAAATTTTATATTGCTTTTATAAATGGCTACAATGGTCAATGTGTACACATTATTTTGGGGAGAAATTATAGATCAAGGAGTTATAAAATAAAAAAAACGCTTGATAAGTTATCCATTTAATAATATTTCCTTATTAATTTATATAGGAATCTTCGAGTCATCATCATCATTTTCATTTACTCCAGTGCCACAAAGGCTCCCAGCTACGGTGGGGTAGGGGGTCAGATGTACGCAATCTTACCCCTGTACTAAAGCACAGAGAGACTGTTTCCGGATAACCCATAGTGAAAATCGCGTCCAAAATTGTATGGACTGACTGTTGCTTCATAACAAAGAAGCGCAGACAATTTAGTGAATCGTTTTGCTTTATTTCATCATATTTTCAAGCCAAAAAATAATGAATCTTTGACTCCATCGCAAATGAGGGAAAGATTATACCTGTTCTTCCAAAATAAATAAAATAATTGTACGGTATTGTGAAGATTATAAAAGTGGTGTTAAGTGTTGTCATTAAACAAGAACCAATTCGCCCTCTATCCCTTTCTCAACAAACGAAGCTGAGCAGAAACCCCAACAACGAGACAATGTTGTAGCGAAGATCAATGGTGAAGGAGCGACCAGTATGAATGGGCGATCTGATTGACGGGATGGTCTCTCACCAGCTTGACGTGAGTTCTCTAATTTTCTTCGTTGCCCGTTTCTAATTTTCCAACTAGATCGCTCTTCTTTTGTTGGTGTTTGTTTTATTTTATGACGATTCTTTTCTCGACACTTGCACTCCGTTGTGTTTCGTCTGCTTCGATGTGGGACTGTGGGGAGTTGTTTTGGTGTCATAGGCAACTTTGCATGGCAAGAAGTTTCTGCATGTCTTCTCCACTTGTTTCTACGTTTATTCGGAACCAAGTAAGAAGAGGAGTTTAGCATTCACTATTCACTATAACTGTGCAGTTAAATGCGTAGTTATCTTCAAGAATTAATTTGAATGATTCTCGATTGAAGTTTTAACTGAAATTTGATATGAGTAAACTAGACTTGATGAATAAGATATGCTCAAAAAAATTCATCAAAATATTCCACCGGAACCGCCTCAAATCACGACTGCCGAGCAGAGCCTCCTATATAAGGACTTGTTTGACCTTTTTATGAAAGTTCGAGGACCTATTTGACAATTTCCCAATTTTAAAAACCCATCCATAAATAGTGGTGGACTCGGGCCGGGTGGTCCGACCCGGAACCGTCTCGGGACCGGCACTATTCCGGCCCGGCCCGAATCGGTGGCCCAGCCAATGACCGGTCTGGGTAGGCCCAACCCGAGGGGTTTCCAATCCGGGCTCGGGTCACCCAGAACATGAACCGGCCCGGCCGGTAGGGCCCGGTTCCGGGCTTTTTATTTTTCAACTTTTTTTTAAATCCCGGGTTGGGCTGGGTATGTTTGGCCATTTGGTGTGATTTGAGGTTTTGGGGGGGGGGGGGGGGTCGGGGGTATTTAGAAAAAGGAAAAAAAATGTAAGAGGCCCGAGGCCCGGCCCCGGTGGCTACCCGGACCGGTCCCAGGCCCAACATTTCCTAACCGGCGGCCCAGTCCACCACTATCCATGAACAACCAGAAAACCAAATCTCAGTACAGCTGCACAGGTTCCATTCTGAATCGATTCTATAAATCTTTATTCATGATGAAAAGGCCCACTATGCCCAAGATGGCAAGATAGGGAGACTAGGGTTAGTATGACTTCACCACAAATTTGTTTAGTCAGAGTCGTCAGACAATTTAAACATATTGACCAATTAAACCAATTTAAACATATTCACCACAAATTAGTAGCTTCAATGGTTTATAACACAATTTAAAGATGTAAAAGATCAAATAAAATATTCTACAATACGGAGTAAGATTTCGCGACAAAGATGTTCCACCATATTTCATCAAAAATACAAAACTCATGCATAATGTCTACAGAGGTTGGAGGCAAGAAGGGAAATTCAGAAGAGACCCATAACTCACAGAGATAGTACAAAGCAAAAACAAGGCTTAGCAAGCCGTGAGTGCCTAACACACTCAAAGTTGATCTAAGGATCAGCAATAGTGACCTCAACCTCTACACCCGGTTCAATGGTGATTGAGGTGATCTGCTTCACAACTTCTGGTGAACTGAATAGGTCAATGACACGCTTGTGCACCCTTAGCTCAAATCTGTCCCATGTGTTGGTTCCTGAAGACCAAACCAACATTCAGGAGAAAGTTATCATCTCCATTAGAATCAGAAATTATTTGCAATTTCAGGAAAATTTAGTTAAAATGACTCATCAACCATTTCCAAATTGTCTCTGATTAATATTGCAAGTCACAGCTAATGACATCACACGAGCAAGCAAAAATAGTAGGATAATATCCTTCAATTATTTTTAAAAAAATGGAAATTTTGGCTTGAATATTACTGAAATATAATTTACGGACAAAAATATTACACAGTACTATAGTTGCTACGCATAGTCACTATATATTTGAACAGAACCATGACCACTCTGCTTACTATGGTCATCACTAAGTCACATCTTGGCCAGTATCTTTATTTCAGTCATATATTTATCATTATCTCAAAGAGTAATATATTGAATATTGCTGATTCTGAAACCCATTTGCAATTGTTAATGATTTAATATGAAAAACAATTAAATAAGAGTGATAGAAGAAGTATAATGCCCAGATTAAACTGTTGCAATTGTGCATCATTTAATTTGCAAAAGACAAAATATGGTCAATTGAAGAAGAATCCCATATACATCTTAACACCTAAACAGCAAATTATTGCAATAGCTCAAACATATTATCTTATCCCAATAATTTAAAAATTCACATAACCAACAATGAAAAACAAATACCTTCTCCACATGGAGACTTTCTAGTGGTGATAAGGAGAACCTTGGTGGGAATCCTGACTGGACCCTTAACTCTAAGCCTTTTGTCCTTGGCCCCACGAACCAAGTCAGAACAAACTGATGAAAAAATCAATGCAACTGTATGTTAGTATTCCGCTAGTACAATGAATTAAGTCAGATAAGCTACAGAAATACGTAGTAGGAGATATGAGATATCTCAATGCAATGGAAAATGCAAGCTTTGACCATTAAACGTTGTGAAACAGGAGAGATATCAGGTTTATCCCAATCAAGAAACTTTCAAGCATAAAAACGTCAGGACTTGTTAGGTACTACTTATTTTTCTGCTTTCAGTTTCATGTTTTAAAGCTTAAAAATAAAATACTGAAAACCATGAAAAGTTGTTTGCACCTTTTTGTTTGCTGTTTCCAAAATTAGCACGAGTTGTGTAAGTTTGATTGATTTTTAGGTCATGATACAAACTATATAATTTACAATTTTAATTAAGTATACCAACAAAAAAACTGATGGACTGATGGTGATACCGAATGCACCAACAGAGAACAGAGAAAAACTTCTAATGACATTGTATGAGAAAAAGGCAAAACATTTTAAACCTAACAGCAATGGGCGTAAAAAGGTATACAAAATGGATTTTGGAAATGTAACAGAACAAATAAAAGAGATTAGGGAAGATTGAAAAAACGTGTCCACCTTCCCTACACCTCACTTGTAGTGATTACTTCTTGTACAACTTCAGATGCATAAAATAAGGCGTGATCAAAATTTATTTTAAAGAATTAATATGAATGAATATGTGTGTGGGTTAATGGTTGTACGTTTAAGACACATTTGAGTGTAAAATGCATACCTTTCTCAAGGTTTTTCACATTTTTTGATGACAGAGTGATTCTGATTTTGTGCTCTTGCTCCTGTGGCTCTTCCAGCCCAGGCTTTGTGGTCTTAACCGCCTTATAAGCCATAACTAGAGGCTGTTCACTTACGAATATAGGATTAAGATCCCTGTCATCACAAATAGAAAACAATCTCGTGTTACAGTTTGATAAATAATGATATGTAAATGGTTCAAATGTTTGTTATTATTAGGACTTGGATTAAACCAGAACTATATACAAGCATAGACACAGAATGATTTATATACTACTCTCTCCATCCCAGCTTAAGGTTCCCCTTTCATTCTTTGGATGTCCTAACCAATGGTTTTCATTTCTATTTTAGGAAATAATTAGAACTTTTAACCGTGTATAATTATTGTCTAAATAACCATGTTATTTTGGCATGGGACCTCAGTGTATTATATACACATACAAACATGGACACATTATGATTTATAGCTACGGAGTTGAAATATATTCTCTTGGGTAAATATACAAATAGCTATATGGAGTAGGTATAAATTGTTAAGCCTATATCAATAAAGCATTTATTTATGCTACGAATTGTTTTCTTTTTTTTTATCTAATTTATTCAGAACATAAGTTCATTTCAATCTCATAATAACCAGATTAATGAGACTTAAAAAAAGATCAAATTGAGAGCAACGAAAAATTATTAACGGTAAAAAACAAATTTTAAAACTGGCATTACTAACAAAAAATCAGATTTGCAACTTTTTTTCTACAGAGCTACAAGTCTGTTAATTAATAAACGCATCCGTAAATTGAGCTTCATATCTGTATAGTTCAAAACAAGACTTTCTATTTGCTAAATATTGTAATCGAAGCAACGAAGAGTGGGGATTTGATCTTAGAAAATGAAATACCTGGGACTGGATGTGGAAGATGAACTCTAGAAATGGCAGAGGCCGTCTAAGTGCCGAATGGGAAGATTATATACCCTTGAAATGATGATGATCTAGGGTGCGGTAATGGGCTTGAGGAAAATTTTAATTAAAATGTTCAGTTAGCCCGTTAAACAACACTGGCCCGAGTTTGTTCCAAGAATCAGTAAATAATTTTTTGAACTTCAATTATTATTATTATTAGGGAAAAAATCACAAAATAATTTTTTTAGGAAAAAAATCACAAATATTACTGGTCCATTTTTAATAATATCAAATATCGATTCTTCAAGTGTAGTATCAACTTTAGGGACCGTTTACTAATAATGTCATCTATGTCTAGTCATAGTAATTTGAATTTTGATCGGACCACTTTTATTAATCTCCAAATAATTAATTTAAAAGTAGTAATCTGGCGTTTTTATTTAGTTTCTACATGTTTTTGTTTGAAAATATCTTGTTATATGCAACATTTTCCTATTTTGATAATTTTTTTTCATTTACTAATGCATAAATATACTTACTTTTTCTACTTTTCATATTATCTTCCTCACTTTCGCAAGTCACTCTCTCTTTCTCTATAGTATTCCCTCCGTCCCGGAAAATTCTTTCCAATTTGACTTGGATCGGAGTTTAAGAAAGTGAAAATAAAGTGGAAATGTATGGTTGTGATTGAGTAACAAAAAGGTAAATGAATGATAGTCACACAAATCTTTACGAAGATGAAACTGAGAAGAATTTTTGGGACTTTCCAAAAAAGTTAGTGAGAAGATTTTTTGGGGGCGGAGGTAGTATTACTCATGTACTATTTTACTCCTAAACTTCATGAAATATATATATATATATATATATATATATATATATATATATATATAAATTCAGGTAAATACAAATATATAAGTTCAGTCAAATATATCTAGAAGGAATATTAATTCTTATGATAATCAACTTTCACAAATTATAACTTTAACGACATTTTTCTAAAAGTGGCCCAAACATATAAGTCTAATACTCTAATTGTCAAACATTAAGCTGTAAAGCCTATCATACTTGTTAAATTATACTACTTACCAGGGGCGGACCGTAGTACAGACTCAGGGGGGCTGCCCCCCCCCCCCCCCCCCCCCCCCCAACAATTTTTTTAGTGTATATATATACAAAAATTTTATTTTTACCCCCCCAACATTTAATTCTCGCCCCTCCAAGAAAAATTTTGAACCCCCCCAAAGCATAGCCCACTCGCAGAAACTCAATTGTTTAAGAGCCTAAAAAATAGAAATTTTACAAGTAATATTATATCAACTCACTCCAAAATTTATTCCCCATTAACCCATCCCAAAATCTAATCCCAGTCCACAGCCCTGACCAAACTAATGAAAAACATGCGCACCTAAAAGAAAGAAACGGAAAGATCGATTATTTTTAAATGATTGTCCTTATGCCTACTATGTTCATTGCTTAGCACATCAGTTGCAATTAGCATTGGTTGCTGCTTCTAGAGAGGTGAAATATGTGCACAATTTTTTCATCGTCTTTATTATTAATGTGACTAATTCTTCTTGCAAACGAAGTGATGAATTAAAGGAAGCTCAAGCACTTGAATTTGCAAGAATGTTGGAAATTGGTGAGCTTGAAACAAGCAGAGGACTTAATTAGGTTGGTACATTACAACAAGTTGGGGAAACTCGTTGGAGCTCGCATTTCAGTTCTGTTTGCAATTTGATTAGGATGTTTGATGCAACTTGTTCTATTTTAGAAGATGTTGAAGAGAATGGCAATAACTATTCTACTCGTGGAAATGCGGCTAGAGAACTTAAGAAGATTAAATCTTTTGATTTTGTTTTCTTGTTGCATCTTATTAAAGAAATTATGGGCATTATTACATATCTTCTATGTCAGCATATACAGAAGAAGTGCCAAGACATAGTAAATGCTATGCATTTGGTGTCAAGCACCAAAATGTTGATCCAAAAGTTAAGGGAGGGTGGATGGGATAACTTCTTAGAAATTGTTAAAGAGTTTTGCACAAAGCATGAAATTGAAGTTCCTAATATGAAGTCTCCTTATGCGGTAAAACGCAAACGCCATGATCAAGAAGGGTTTTGATATTGAACGTCACTATCGGGTTGATATGTTTTACGCAGCCATAGATTCACAATTGTTGGAGCTGAATAGCAGATTCGGTGAACAGATAATGGATCTTCTTACTCTTAGTGGTGCTTTGGATCCTAAGGACTCATATAAGTCTTTTAACATTGATGATATTTGTTCTTTAGTGGATAAATATTACCCCTTTGATTTTATTGAGCAGGAGAAGGTGAGCTTGAGGTTTCAATTGCAACATTATAAGCTCAATGTTCTAAACCATCCAAAGTTGGCGAATTTTTCTACAATGGGTGAACTTTGTCAAAGATTAGCGGAGACGGAGATGTCAAAAGTGTACTTTCTTAGCTTGTTGATAAATTGATCCGACTTTTGTTGACTATACCGGTTTCGACAGCAACAACCGAAAGGACTTTTTCCGCAATGAAAATTATAAAAACAAGGCTTCGCAATAAAACGGAGGATGAGTATGTTGCAGACAACCTTAATGTTTATATTGAAAGAGAAATTGCTAAAACTTTTGACTAAAAAGCCGTGATTGAGGAATTTATCTCGTTGAAGAAGCGTTGGGTACAAATTCTAAGGTATAACTTTAACTATTTTGTAATAATATATTTGTCTCTTCTTCTATTATAATGCTTCATTTAATTACTACTCCGTATTATATTAAGGTTATAACTTATGATAATAATCGCCTAGATTTTTTTGTTTAAATTATTGCCCCCCCAATATCAATTTCCTGGGTCCGCCCCTGCTACTTACTAATTTAAGTCGTAACTAACAGCCCATTTGATGACATTGTAGTTGGCTAAATCGACTGGATCTGCTAGAATTGACGAAATTTTGACTTAATTAACCGAATTGGTTGAATCTGCTGAATTATGAAAAATTATATTTAGAATATATTTAGTCCATAAAGTTAAGAAAAATTTATATGAAAAATAACTAAAATAGTCTATAAAGTAAGTTCAATCAATTCAACCAAAAAGTTACTATGACCACAATTATTTTGATTATTACACAATTAGTGAACCAAAATTAAAAATTACATGTTTGGAAAAAAACTGATAAGATGAAAATATGAATTACCAAGTGGGCTCTAAGAAAACAACAAAATTACATAAAATTGTGATTAATTTTCCACCCAACTATTCAACTAACAGAAAAAGAAGCTGATAAAAATGGTGGAGTAAGTTACACAGATGCCATCTATCAGTCCCACTGCCTCATCGAGGTCATGCATGTCTCATTAGTTATATAACAGTTGAGTGGAATCTCAAGATGGATTGGTTGTTCTTGCAAGGGTTGAGAGGTTACCAATTTACCATGTGTTTCTGGACGTAAAATAGTGGTGGTATTGGTACAGTGGTTTTACAGTTTTGCTCGGAAGATTTACAGAATAGAATATCTTCTTGAGTTTGAGAATGTTCTGTGAGAGGGTTTTCTTTTTACCACATGAACTTCTTGAAGTAACAAGTGAACTCTCAAAACACAAACTTCTGGTCCTTATCTTTCAAGTTCACAAATCACAACCAACCAACTAATTTGTAAATTATACTCCTGAACTATAACGAAAATGCATATCTATCTTGGCATCTGCTTCAAATCATGTTGTCTAAACATTAATACCCTTTGTTTGTGAAACTGTCATGTTACCAAAACAAGTTTGGAGCCTACTTTATATCTTGCACATTATTTGGAGAATGTTGATTACACAACAGACTTTCAAAGCTAAAGAGGATGCTGCTATCAAAGCACAACATACTTGGATTACACAACAGACTTTCAAAGCTAAAAAAAACTGAAGGGGCAATTCTGTCAAATATGAACTGCAAACTCTACTTGCTTCTGTTAAATTAGTAATTGGCATACACCATGACTCCATGTCATCAATACTAACAAACAGAAATGTTACATGGTACTAATAGCAAGAATGATATTAAATCGTAGTATGTAGTTTCTACTAGGTAGCAGATCCTCTATGTTGGTTAATATCATCACTATCCATCTCTTCAGCATCCTCAAATCGATTATCATTAACTTGAAGCTGCATCCAAAACTGGCAGAATCATGATACCATCTTCGGCAGCAAATTTGTTGGAAGGAGGGTGAATAATAAATGAGGGAAGGGGAGGGGGGATCTCGGAACAGTTGCACACACAACCAACTACAACTAGGATAAGAAATGTGGGAGAGGGAAGGTACTTTGAAGTGGTTAAAAAAGGATTATGTTTGGTCCAATGAAGCAGAGAGAAATTAATATAATAGCATGTTGGGGATACTGTATAAAAGTGTAGCATTTGATTATTTTTAAAAGAAATATACATAGTACTAAACAGTAAACACACACATATGCCAATAAATCCATTAATAATAATGCAGAACAATTTTGAGGGGAAAAGTGAAAGAAATCATGAATAAAAACAAACCCCCAGATTTTTTGAATTGAGGGAATGAAATCTGAGGGTTTGGATGCTTTTATAGCTCACCGACTCTCTTCCTCCCTAACTTCCTCATTAACTCTCCTAAACAAAACAACTTCACTTTAATTCATTCCCCTCCAAAATCCTCCAACCAAACAAATATTAAAATCCTATACAGAGAGTACATTAAGGAACCTGAAGCACTGCATGAGATAGGTCATCTCCATTAGAACAACCAATTGGAATTGAGCTATTCATCCATTCAGATTCAATCTCGTCTGCAATTTCGGCAAGGTTACTTACTTGGTTAAGGTATAGAAATAGAAAGAAAACATAAGCAAAACAACAAATCGAAGTCCCATTTTAGCTCATACCAGCTGTCTCGTTTTCTAACTGCTCAGCACTAAAAATCCAATTGTGCTCTTGTTCCTCCTCCTCTAGAGAAGTGAAGACAGAAACAAAGTTATAGTAATGATGGTGAACAGAAGAAAAAGTAGAGGTCAATACAAAAATGATAATTACCTTCAATAGGTTCAGGATTTAACTCCGCGCAT